ACAATCTAAACTAGTGAGGACCGCAAAGAGCAGGTAGGTCTCTGTGAGTTCAAGGCCAGCCTGGATACACAATGAGATCCAGGCCAGTCAGGGCTACATAGTGAGACCTTGTTTCAAAAATTAAATAAATATAACCACATATAGAGAGAAGTTCATATTTATAAGAGAAAGCTGTATACCACTATAATCAAAAATTAAATGAGGAAAAAAAACTCCATGCTAATAATTTTTGAAAAGTTGGATCAAATAGATAGTTTCTTACTAAAAAAATAAATAAATAAATAAAAAATACAAGATGGCTTTAAAGAATCAGAAAACCCAAGTACAGGGAACTAACAGGAGAAGTTCCAAAGCTGTGGAGGTCTGTGGAAGGACTCGACTAGCCCTGAATATCAGGAGTCTCCTCTGGAGAAGCTTCCCACTAAAGACCAAACTACAAACAGCATTTTGCACCTATCAAACTGACAAGATAAAAAGGAAAGAAAACCAGGTTTAAAAAGAAAATGCCTGCCTGGCATATGACACACACCTTTAATCTGGGAGGCACTCAGAGGCAGAGGCAGGCAGATTTCTGGGTTTGAGGATAGCCTGGTCTACAGAGTGAGTTCCAGGACAGCCAGGGCTACACAGAGAAACCCTGTCTCAAAAAATCAAAAAGAACAAGAAGAAGGAAGGCAGAGAAGGGAGGAGGAGGAGGAGGAGGAGGAGGAGGAGGAGAGCAGCAGCAGCAAGACCTTTTTTAAAAACCTTTAAGGTGTACTCTGTACATATACGCTACCTAGTTACCTGTCCTTCCAAGAAGTTATTACAAAGCAATCATCAGAAGCACATGTAAGTTTTTATGGCACAAGGACATTGACCGCAGAAAACAGAAACTGAGCGGTGGGCAGCAGAGAAGGGCTGGACTGAGTCTGACAACTCCAGGTGAAGGGACGGCACCAAGTACAGAGAAGCACATACAACATCAGGGGTCTGGGGTGAGTACACACATTTTTTATACATGCCAAGAGGACTGAGATACAAAGCAAAATATTTTTTAATGGGTAACTACAGAAATTTTCTCCTCCTCTCAATTCTGCTAATGAGCACGTAATATTTTATGACTGGAAAACTTAGCAGTTGTTACTAGAATTTCATTTGCACAAATTTTATGAGACATATTAATAATGCTCAGACAACTAGAACAGAAGGCTTATGCCTGGGCTCCCCCAGTGTGGAAGGATCTGCATGAACCAGCAAGAGGCTTGCTGTGGACATCATGGTCCCTCTGGGCTGCGGCCTGGAAGCCTATGTTGTTCACAGCCCTGGAGCCTGGGGTCCTCGGAGCCTAGATGTATGAGACAGAGCATCTTTGTTTCCACCTCACCAGTGTTCCTATCCTAGGAAGCACCAATGGCTTGTTCCAACCCGAGGAACCAAGCAAATCACTTCTTTATCCATGATCCCTGCTACTTCCAGGAAACTGGAAAAACATCTTATTTGTCACTGAGCATGTCGCTTGGAAAAAAAATAATAATAAAATAAGCCAACAGAGACTCATACCTAGATAGGGAATACTGGGTACCATCTTCAGACTTCGGATGTAGTCCCGAGTCCGCTTGTAGTTGTCTTCCTTGGACATCAGGTAGTCCAGTTTCTCAAAAGTAGTCTTGTCTTTACGATTCAAAAGCTGGAATGAAAAGAAGAAATCATAGTATCTGCGAGGGAAAAAGAAACAAACGAGAAAAGCTGACCAAAGGAAACACCTGAATGTGTGTCCAGAGTATGTCAAACCCGGATGCAAGTCAAGACTTTAAAAGGCAGACATGGGGAGCTCCATGGCCTCAGTCTCAGCTCTCCAGTCTCACACGGAAGACAAGCCCTGGAGCTACACTGCCCACAGGCCATGATGCTAGCCAACTCCTTCACTACACACACAACACTGTGGGGACGGATACCCTACGACAACACAGGGCTCTAAGAGTGAACTGGTCATGGCCCCAAGAGTTATTTCAAAGCTCTAGCCAGTCTCTTCCCCAAACGCCTCATGGTGAAAGATGCTATCAACTGCCACACGACTCAAGTGGGCATGCCATGAGGATCTGACTGTGCTGCAGCTCAGGGCTCTCCTCCAGATCCCCCAGGTCCTGGGTCATATTTCACTGGGAATAGTGTTTCACACAAAGACCATTCTTTTCCATAAGCAGTCATCTACAGAGTACCTAAGAAACTCAGGGTGAGCAAGCACAACCAGAGATGAGAAGCAAGCTCTGTGATGACTGAACGCTTGGTGTGTGAACCTGGGAGAGAGGATGGCCCAGTGTGCATACTACACCTTCTAGAATTCTAAAACTTGATGCTGAGGACTCACAGTATAGCTATTCTTCACATTGATTCAAAGTCTAGTGCTGGGAAATGGCAAGACACCTCTTCAAATGCAATGGCTTTGAGGAAAGGAGTCTAGAAGAGGAGGCCAAGCTTGAAAGAGGGGTTGGGGCAGGGCCACCGGTATGTATGGTTTTGGCACAACATGAGACTAAGTAGAGATTCTCCCAATTCCAGTTTCTGAAACTGAAGGCCAATGGCTAATGGCTAAAGGCCAAGGGAATAAAAGAAGAGGACCCTAGACCGCATATGTCCTCGGCTAAGCTTGGTCTTGAGATTCTAAAAGTCTGTGTAAGGACCTCAGCCAATAGACGTGCCCACTGTCCACCAGACTGAAGCAGACCAGTGTCGATAGCCCCTGTGCAGCAGAAAGAAGTGGAACAATGGCTGTCAGCACCAGGGACACAGTGCAGCTCCCGAGACCTCAGCCTGCAAATCCCACACTCTGGTGGTGTCTGGTGCCTGGGGGAGCCCCAGGCTGCTTTGGGAAGGCTCTATCAGATCCCTCTATCCTTGGTCTTTGGAGCCAACAATGATTCGGCCATGAGAGAGCCCACTGAATTTGGGTAGTGACAGCTGGTGTACATCATAAGAGAGACAGAAGGCTATTCTGAAGGGAAGGCTCCAGCACTGAAGCAGATGAGGAATGAGAAACAAGCTTTTATTTTTCCATGGAGACACTCAAGACATGCTGTGGAACAATCCTTTTCTACACTATGAATATGTATTACTCTCATTGGTTAATAAAAAGCTGACAGGCTGGTAGCTGGGTAGGAAGTTAGGTTTGGAAAGCCAAACTGAGGATCATGTAAAGGAGAGCAGAGTCAGAAAAGATGCCAGCCAGCTGCCAAGCAAGTAGGACATGTAGAAAATGAGGTAAAAAGCCATGAACCATGGGGCTAAACATAAATATAATGGGTTAATTTAAGTGTAGGAGTCAGTTAGTAACAAGCCTGAGCTATCGGACAAGCATTTATAATTCATATTCATTCTCTGAGTCAGTTATTTGGGACTGGGCATTCAGGACAGGAAACTTCCGTTTACAAGGACACACTGGGCAGGGGGTGCACTACACAGATGCTAGGAACAGTTCTGCTTAATGGGCTTGTTTCATCACAGTGACAAGTGGGCAGGAAATTATGCCGTCCTCCACTGGTTATGTATAAAGCACTGTTGCATATAACTCAGCTGGCCTCTGTGAACCCAGAGGCATAAAGGAACCAAGAATGTTGCCTGTATTTCAGGTTCACCATCTCTAGGAGTAGGTGACTTGTCCATATATCTTTGGAACCCAGGGGTCAATGGAAAGGCTGAACAGATGTATTTTATAGCAGCATAGCAAGTGGGTGAATAGAAACTAAGGACCCAAGGAATGGTAAGTGAACTATCAGCAAGAGAAGTATCCTCAAGAAGAGCAATACACTGGGGCTGGAGAGAGATGGCTCAGTGGTTAAGAACACTGGCTGCTCTTGCAGAGGACACAGGTTTTATTCCTAGCACCTACATGGCAGCTCACAACCATATGTAACTCCAGTCACAAGGGATTCCAATGCCCTCTTCTGGCCTCCCTGGTCACCAGGGATGCAAGTGGTGCACACACGTATATGCAGATAAAGCGCCCATACACATAAATTACATAATATTTTTAATGCTGGAAAAAAAAGGCATAGGGAGGCAGCATTTGATTTTGTTTTTTTTTTTTTTGTTGTTGTTGTTGTTGTTGTTGTTTTTTGACAGGATTTTTCTACATAGCTCTGCCTGTCCTAGAATTCATGATGTAAACCAGGTTGGCCTAAAACTTACAGAGATCCACCTGCCTCTGCCTCCCAAGTACCATGTTTAAAGGCATGCACCAACACACCTAGATTTTTTTTTTAACTGATACAATCTAGAACCCCACTTACTTCTTTGAATCATCTACATTCATCCAGATGTCAAACAAATCCTGATGCCTGTTGTTGGTTGTTTTCTCTTTTGGGGGCCTGCCACTCAGCTCCCAAATAAATCCCACACAGAAGCTTATTCTTAATTATAAATGCCCGGCCTTAGCTTGGCTTATTTCTTGCCACCTTTCCTTAACTTAAATTATCCCATCTACCTTTTGCCTCTGGATTTTGTTTTTGTTCTCTTACTTCTATAAATCTTACTCTTACTCCATGGTTTGCTGTGTAACTGGGTGGCTGGCCCCTGAATCCTCTTTCTTCTCTGGCTACTTCATATTTCCTCCCATATTTCTTCTTCTATATATTCTCTCTGCCTGCCAGACCCCTATATATTCTCCTGCCTTGCTATTGGCCATTTAGTTCTTTATTAGACCATCAGGTGTTTTAGACAGGCACAGTAACAGCTTTACAGAGTTAAACAAATGCAATATAAAAAAAAGTTACACAGCTTAGAATAATATTCCCCAACATTTTCTCCTTTTTGTCTAAATAAGAAAGGTTTTAACTTTAACACAGTAAAACTATACAACAAAACAGTTATCAAATAAGAATTAATTTACAATATTCAGTCCATTTACATTTAGCAAATTCATAGAAAGCACTCTACCATCCATCCATCTTAGAGAATACATATGGCTGCCTCGACAGTCACCCAAAGTTCCTCTGTAACGTTGGGGCATCCATCTTCAGCTTACAGGCCTAGAGTATCTGGCACACTTTCCTATGAAGCAGGAATTTTGGACTGTCTTGCTTTGTTTTGGCAAAGTTCAGCAGTTACTTTCCTGTGCATCCTACAGAATATATGGCAGACTCTTCTGTGTAGCAGGAATTTTGAATGACTGTCCTGTTTTGTTTTGGCAAAGCTCAACAGTCTTTTTCCTGTGTCTGCATGTCCAATATGCACAGCACATTGTCAGCAGTCAAAGGCAAAAACAGTTTCTTTGCCCAGTGGCTAACCTTGCCACAATGAAAGCAAATTCCATAAGCAGTTTCTTCGATGCCCATCATCTCTGAAGTAAATTGGTGCTGCCAGGAGCAGATGTGTCTCATTGTCATGAAAAGCCCTAAGTTAACAAAACATTTTAAATGCCATATTCTGTAGGTCTTTGAAAGGTTTGAAGACCATCTATCTATCTAAAATATATCTCTATATGAACTGGAAAGCATACCTAACATATCTACAAATTTGATTGTTATAAATGACTGACCACTAACCAATGTTTCCTGATTGTCCTATACAGTTTATAATAACAGCTTTCAAAAACTAGAAATTTACCTTACATTTTAAAATAAACTGCATAGTTACAATACCTTAAACAAGAATAGAAACATATATACATTATGTTGTAACAAAAATAACCTTAAATTTTTATTAATATACAAAAATCCTTTAAACAAGAGTAGAAACATATATACATTGTAACAAAAATAACTTTAAATTTGTATCAATATACTATATTCCCCTAAATAATAACAAACATCCACAACCCTCCAAATAATCAAAAGCCTCCCACACTCCTCTTGGGAATGTGGACATTGTATTCTCCAAATTGCTTCCTGTTGTCTGTAGATGAAGTATCTTTAAGGTCCTAGCGAGAAAATTTTGAGATAATGACCAAGTCCTGAGAAGACCAGCAGTAACCTTTGCTGACAGATATCACCTCAAGGTTCAGGTCTTGCCTGATCAAACCTGATCCATATTAACCCTGAAGGAATCCACAGGTCTCCTGTGGGAACAAAACTCCAAGGCATTTTTTATTTCCATTTGACAAATACATTTTTTTTTTTTTTACTTTTTAAAAATGAAGGCATTCCTAAAGTGTATAGGCTGGTTTATTTCAACAGTCCCTCTTTCAATCCCAAGTCTCTTTGAAGTTGTCCTTTGCTTTTCAACAATCAAAAAGTTCAAAATCAACACAGCAACACACAGGATCCAGACTCCCTGTGTATTTCCCATCTTATGTGGCTTTTTTCTCCTATACTACTTTTACAATCTCTTTAAAGACTTTATTTTTATTTTTAAACTATTCATTTTTTTTCTATGACTATACCCTTTTTCTTTTCTTAAGCCTACACACGTAGTTAAACACACTGTAACCTGTTTAGAGGTTTTTCCATCTGGACCTCTTTTATTGTGTATTTCCAGCCTTTTTTTGACCATATGAGCAAACCGTTAAACTGCTAACCTACACCTGAATCCTCCACACATGGCTCTCAGCTGGCTCCACCTGCTTCTTGGGTCATGAAAACCAAGCATGAAATTCATGGCCGTTTGGAGGTTTGCCTGACCAGGAACTGCATTCAACCTTCCTAGAGCTCCAGAATGCTGATGCATTCTGTGGCAGGGTTTTTACTTAGTTGT